CCCAGCCAGCATGCTGGCTGGGCAATTCTGGGAGTTGAAGTCCACACATCTTGAAGTTGTTCTAGTCACTCTTGGTTCAAGCCAAAAATCACACACAAAATATATAAATATATATATTTAAAAGCCTCCTGCCTATTAAATTTAAAACTGATTGATTGATCAATGATGTGCCATCAAGTTGTTGTTGACTCTTAGCGACCATATAGATAGATTTTCACATAGATAGATTTTTCATAGATAGAATGACCTTGGGAGACAGGAGGGAGAGCCACAGACGGGACAACCAGCGTGTAAAAGATATCTTAGCCCACAGAAGGAGAGGAGGCGTGGGAGATGTTTCAGAAGGGACCCTCCCTAGTTTTCCAGAGAGTAAAGGGAAGGGAGGGGAGAAAGGAGAAAGGAGAAGACCCAGCATAGTCATCATCTTCAAGTATCTGGAAGAGCAAAAAAGCTCCCCTCCCCCGCCGGCCAGAAGAATAATGAATGATGCCACTGGGGCCGGTGAATGTCCCTAGGGAGCCTGCTCTGAAGCTGGCCTGTTGCAAACAAGAACCCTTTCCCTATTGCTCAGAAGATGAGGGCCATCTTGGAATAGGACCAAGTGGAGGGACAGCGGGGAAGAAACTGAAGAGCAGCTGCTTGGCTGGCTAAATCTAACCTCTGCAGAATGTGCCAAGTGTTGAGCTGGGCTGGCCTTGGTGAAGATGTCATATGGGTTGACCTGCAGAGTCACCTTCTAGCAAGCCCCCCTTATTTTCCCCCTCTCCCAGGGGTCCAGTCGAAGCTCTATTTAATATGCATCATACCCATGACACACACAAGAGCTAGGCAGAGCTTCGAGAACACTGTTGTGGCCACCCCGTTGACTTTTTTTTTTTACCATACGTTGGAGACACCCCTGCCCTCTCCCATCCTCTCAGGCCAACAATAGATCAGAAACACAGCTGGAGGTGGGATCAATCAATCAATCAATCAATCAATCAATCAATGTGAAAACCCAGCTTTCTAGAGTTGGGAAAGGTAGAAGGAAAGAAAAGAAGAGGACAACCAGCAGGAAGGTGGATGGACTCAGTCACAGCAGTGATGGGGGCACCGTTGGAAGACCTGAAGAACCAAGTTGGAGACAGATCATGCTAGAAAAGGTCCATCTGTGTTGACACTGACTTGATACCACATAATCAATCATTCATTTATAGCTGAAGGATCCCCTTCCCAGCCTTACACAAGACCAACTGTAATCTGCAGGTGACTTCAAAACTCTTCTATCATCTACCACCAGGAGAGCAGATGTAGTAGATCCTTCAGTGAGTATTTCCTTCAGCTCAAAGAGAATTCTAATTCTCTGCATCTCACTGCACTGTTTTAATAGGGCATGATGGATTCTGTGTGGCTTCCTTTGAAGAAATATTTGATTTTTTAAAATAATGAACAAAGAACTTTGAGATTGGTATTCCTCACAGTAACAAAAACCTTCTATCTATCATAATGACATAGGAATAAAATCTTACCTATCACTTTGAATGTAAAGAGATTAATATTCTCTGTCTCGGATCTTTTAGTTTAAAGGCTTCTTATTTTATAGAATGATGTTGTAATTAATTGTAATATCTCATTGTTCTAATTGTTATTTTATTGTTCTGTTCTTGTTAGTTATATGCCAGAATAAATAAAACTATCACTCCACGTTTTTGTTTCAGTTTAGGCAGAGCACTGCGGCTGCTTCTACGAGGGCCAATGGAACTACAAAAATTATTACAATTATGATTATTTAAATGTCTCACCTCAACTTTTCCAGAGGCGTCGTCTGCCATCCTCTCTTCCGCCGCCATTTCTGGTCTCACATATAATTGAGTGATGTCAAATTTAACTTGATCTACTTTGGCTGCATACAAATACAAAAATATACATCTCAACGAAACAGGCGGTTGAAGAATTTTCAACAAGACACGCGTGTTAACGGCTGGGTTTCTGCATTGTTTTGAAGGAAGGGGAACACCAGCCATGTATAGCCCTACTATGTAGACCAAATCAAGAAATCAACTCCACAAAAAGTTGATGTATCATTTTATTAATAGTGGCTATACTGTAGAAACAGAATCTTGTCAGTTGGACTGTGCTTTATTTCCCCCCCTCCTTATACTCATGTGAATTAGGGAGGTCTGTGTCTGAGTTGCTTGTACATATCTATCTTGTTTTGGACGTAAGCCATGTTTTTCCACTTTGGTAATGGATCTGCTGTCTCTGTCAAGGTCATCTTTGGTGTTCACCTCCTTCTTCCTCTCCCCCAACTCTTTAAAAATTGGGAAGCTGGCTTGTTGCAAAACACAGTGCCAGAACATAGAGCATCATCTTTGTTTCCAAGAAAGATTTTCCAGGCCCCAACTGGATGCCATCTGCTTTTCTATATCAAGTGAAAAGGAATGGATGCTTGCAAGACAGCACTCAATTTGGAGGAGTGTCCAAAATGGTTGGTAGAAGGATTTATCCATGGCCTGTCACCCTTGCTTCTGTTTCTCCTCTTGATTTGGGAGTGTCCAGGGGATCTCCATGGGAGGACATCTGAGCTCATTTTGGTTTTCCAAAGCAAAAAACAAGCTTGAAATCACATAATTTAAGCAGGCTGAAATTCCAGAAATTGTTTATACCCTGCCATTCAAATATGAATCAACAAGGGCATGTTTTAGATTTTATTAGCAAGGAGGAAATCCTCCCCGCAAATCATATTGAAGTCTAGATGACTGGCCTTGGATTTTTTATTGATAGCCAAGATTACATTGCAAAGAAAAACAAAAGCATGTTCAACCTGAACAAAGAGCTGTTAACAACTGAATAGTCTTGACAGAACAAATGACTTCCCTGAATTTGTGCAAATTCATCCTACAGCCATGTTAGCTAGTTGTCATGTGTAATCTTGTAGCAGAGAGTTCCACAAGTTAACGATGCATTGTATAAAGAGCTAATTTCCAGTTTAGAAATTTGGTGAAATTAATTGTTAATAGCCTTATAGACGTCTCTGCAAGTATAGCTAACGAGGCTTAAGTTCTTCTGAGAAATCTGAATTATAAGATTGGGGGAAAGCTGAAATCTCTTTTGAGCTGAACATGTCCATACAGTTTTCTTGGCAATGATGTGAAAGTGTTCTTGTTCTCTTTGGCGATGTTTTTTCAACTCCCTGGTCTAGCCTACACCTGTGGAATTTCCTGGTGGTCTCCCATCCAAAGATTAATTAGGTCTGAGCCCTGATTAGCTTTTTCAAGGTCAGCCCAGATTGGCTAGGTGGTATCATCTGTTGGGGCAAAAGTTCATCATTACATTGGGAGAAAATCCCCTCCTCTCCCTGATGGGGATTAAAAGAGATTCGGGGGGTGGGGAGCGTTAGGAGTTCTACCCACCAATTTTGCCAGTAGTGTAGACTTTGCCAAGCCCTTGAGTCTCGTACTTGTCTGTCCACTTCTGGAAGAGCTGTTTAAACATGGCTGATTCTCCTCCATCATTTACAACTTCAACGTTTGTAGTCGGAGGATATCCTTTGGCTTGGATGAAGCCCTAGGAGGATTCCAACACACAAACACAGAGAGAGAGAGAGAGAGAGAGAGAGAGAGAGAGAGAGAAAGTTGTAGCAACTCCAACAAGCCACCAAAACCAAAGTAAAATTCCACAATTGCGAAGGAGGAACAGCATGAACAGAAAACGGAACAGGGTAACTAAAGATGCAAAGAACAGCACTTCCTTCTGCCACATGGTCTTCGTGGCCCTGACTTGCGATTTATGGATTGCATTTATTATCCATGCCCTTATCCTCCTCAAAACCCTGCAAGGTAGACCCTCCTGAGAGAATTGTCTTCATGAGCAGAAATTCAAACTCAGCACTCCATAGTACAAGTCTGAGGTTCTCTCCACCCCTTCACCCGAACAAACCTCTGTATGAGTTCTACCTGCACATCTCTCCTGATTCACATTCCCATTATTTTTTTTTAGACAGAATATAAATGAAGATGTTTCCCAAGCCTGTTTCAGCACACAACTTACCACTGCCCGACTAAAAGCGGCTTTTTTTTCTTCCTTGCTGGAATTTTTTCCTCTCCAGACGTAAATTTTAAAACCTCCCTGGTCTAAAATGTGACAGTCCTGTAGAAGGAGAAGGGGAAGGGGGAAGAAGAGAAGGAGAAGGGAGGAGGGAGATAGAGGGGGAGGGGGAGGGGGAGGAGGAGGAGAAGGAGGAGGAGAAGGAGGACAAGAAGGAGAAGAAGGAGGAGGAGAAGGAAAAGGAGAAGGAGGAGGGCAGGGGGAGAGGGAGAGGGAGAGGGAGGAGGAGGAGAAGGAGGACGAGAAGGAGAAGGAGGAGGAGGAGGAGGAGGAGAAGGAGGAGGAGAAGTCAGAGAAGGAAAAGGAAAGGGGGAAGAAGAAGATAGACACGGAAAAGCAGAGAAAGAGAAGTCAGAGAAGGAAAAAGAGAAGGAGAAGGAGAAGAAGGAAAAGTCAGAAGGAGAAGGAGGGGAAGAGAAAGGGGGAAGAGAAATGGAGGAGAGGAAGAAGAGAAGGAGAAAGGGAAGAGGAAGGGGTAGAAGAGAAGGGAGAGGAGAAGGAAGAGGAAGAAAAGGGGAGAAAAATAACATGGGATTTCAACCTGAGATTCCCAGATCTGAATGTTGAGATGTCTTTGATGTTGAGATGTCCCTTTTGTGGGGCACCCAAACAGGACAGCATCAGGTCAGCTGTTGCATCTCTTACCTCGTGACTCAGGAGGTCTTGGGTAAGGGGCCGGGTCGCAATTTCTTGAACCACAAGATCTTTGCCATTTTCATACACACTGTGGGGAGAAGCTGGCAGAGTAAGTACTTTAGAGCCTTCCACAAAGGGCAGTCTGACCCCACCACCCTTGACCCAAGATGGCGGTGGCCTCCTCTTCATTGGCTGTGACCAGGAAGAGGGTGAGCAACCCTCCCTCCGAGACACTTTGATTAGGCTGCCTGTGTCCCTTCTCCCCGCCCCCCCGCCCCAAATTCTGGGTTTCATACTTGCAGAAT